TTTACAAAAAAAAAGGGGGGGTGCAACTGTCCACTCAACATTCGCCCAAGGTAAGTCTGAGTTTTCCTGGACAACTGTCTTAAATTCACTACATAAAGAAGCATTGAATCAGTTTCTTTTCTCTTCCCAGGACTGGCAAAGGGAAGAGGGGCCTATCAATACCTTGAAATTGCCACAATACCACCCTTATTTCACAGTTCACAGAGATTAGAAGCCAACTATCAAAGGATACTAGCATCCACTATCTGGAGTAATTCACTCAATAAACAAAAGCTTCTACAACACATCTGGCATGTCACGGAGGAAATAAAGAATTATAAAGGAAGAAACTTGCTTACTCAATCTGATTGAGAAAATATGGTAAACAAATATGAAATAACTAATAACAGGCAATACAGGAAGAACCCCAACAGCCAGGTTCAGAGAGTAAAAAAAATCTCAAACCTTGAGATCCACTCCCTCAACTATAACTCAAGACAGTTCCTAAGCCACATAAACACAGGCACTTTATATCCTTTCCTTTTTATTAAGAGCTGATTTCAGCACCAAAGCAAAGATTAATCAGAAAAGCACATCTGTATAAAGAGGGTGGAAGGGGGAGGAAGAAGAGGATAAGAAAAAGTAACTACTGTGTACTAGGCTTGGTACCTGGGTGATGAAATAATCTATACAACAAACCCCCGTGACACGAGTTTAACCCATATTAACAAACCTGCACATGTGCCCCCGAACCTAAAGTAAAAATTTTAAAATAATAAACTAAAAAAAAAAGGAAGCCATAAATTAACAAGGATAAAAATTCATTCTTTTGGAAACTAAGAAGTGACAGAGTAATCTCACAGTCAATGCTTTGCACCTAGTGAAGCCTTAAATACGTCTTTTGATTTGACCAAGTGACAAATATTTAATCCCTCTTTATCACTAGTTATCAATATTTGTGTTCAAGGAAAATGCAAAATAATATTTAGGAATAAACAAACCCTAGTTCACAGTATATTTAAAAGTCCTAAGACGTATGTCTTCTCTCATCTGGGCAGAATTCCACGCAGCTCAACTATAAACGGTGTTTATAAAAAAGTACAAAAACAAGACAACACATACATACTCAGGGAAGAATTCATTTTTCTTTTGGTAAAATGTGCAATTACAAGCTCCTTACTAATTCTGCAATCTGTTGACAAAGGGCATGCAATGCCACACCATTTGGTTTAGAGACTGTGGACTGGACTCCACCTGACCACAGCACCCTCTACCCAGCTACCAGGCAGGACTCTCAGTTCAAGCAACAAGTTAGCAGGAGAAAGTGAAACCTCTCCTCAGTTTTTCTGGGGTGGCATTCCGAGAGCCAGAACCAATTTCACAGCAAACAAAACTGAACACTTTCCTAGTTCAGAAGAGCTCATGTAATGTGTAGGCCATGTTTTGCTTTATAAAATACAGGAGCTCAAAAGCAAGTACAAAGTTAGGCTGGACAGTATTACAAAGTATTTTTAATTTACGCTACTATCTATAGATTATGGCCAATGTGATGGTAGATACAGAAAAGCTTTATTAAAAAACCAAAATGGTTATGTTTTTAAGTCAAATTTCTAAAAGTTATTTTATCTTTATATCAAATTCTTTATATTATTTATAAATTATATATACCTTTGTAACCAGAAACTTCTGTAGAAAATTCTAACCGAAACAGAAATTACTATTAAGATAATAAAAACAAGAAAATAAAATTCAAATTTAACCTGGATGCAAAATCTTTCATGAAACTTCCTAAACCATTTTCTAGCCCTCCTCTAAAAGAATTCCCTCAAGCTAAATTGGCCGATTTCTACATCGCAGGCAAACTCCTTCTTCTGATCGTTTACTATAGCCATGCCTTCTCCCCAAAGGGCTCCTTCCTCAAATCTGCCTTTCTCCCTTTCTGGACTGTAAATTTCTGCCCAGCCCTGATTAAACTTCTCTGCATCCCTGACAGTATGCAGCATTTATTTCCTTATGAATAGAGATTTCAAGAGTTATCCATTGATTTGAATAATTATTTTGACAACTTTGGGGCAGACGAGGAAACTCTCAAATGTTAAACTCACAATTTTTTTTTTTTTTTTTTTTTTTTTTTTTTACAGCTGCAGTGTAGTGGCAGGATCTCAGCTCGCTGAAACCTCTGCCTCCTGCGTTCGAGCAATTCTCCTGCCTCAGTAACTGAGATTATAGGCATGTGCCACCACACCTGGCTAATTTTTGTATTTTTAGTAGAGACAGGGTTTTGCCGTGTTAGCCAGGCTGGTCTTGAACTCCTGACCTCAGGTGACCCACCCACCTCAGCCTCCCAAAATGCCAGGATTACAGGCCTGAGTCACCACACCCGACCACAAATAATTTACCTATTCAAAAAGAAATATTTTGGAGCACCTTACTATGTATAAGATATAATGCCAGAGACAATGAAGAATGCAAAGATGGAACTGACAAAAACTGACTTTCAAGGAGCTCAAAATCTAGTGAGGAAAATAAGATCAAGTCACCATAATCAATACAAGCTAGACAATTACAAATACTTCACTATGGATATGCTAAAGACGACTAAGATTACTTAGCACTATGACGGTTTAGGAGGTGAGGAGAGAGAGAACTCTTGGAAGAAGAGGCAGCTGAGCTGAACAGAAAGGAGGAGACATAATGCCCTTAAGTATAAACAAAGGCAAGGAGTGGACAGAGTTCAGAAAGTTAATGGATGAAGCAAGGGGAGAGTGATGCTTTAGAACATGTATATGACATAGAGAAAATGGAACAAATGTGAAAGTCATTTGTATTATGAATGAAAAGAGGTTAAACCCAGGAAATTTGGAGGTCATCACACACTAAAGTCATGATGTTAGGCAATCTTAAGTAACCAAGATATGTAGGAGGATTTATGAGGATTAATTATGATATCTGAGGAAAACTAATAAATTCTAACTTTTTATGATATTAATTTATAGCTGAATAGTATTCAACACAGTAAAGTCTACTCAATTAGAATTGACATGAAGAGTTCAAATAACACACAGTGTTAAGTATTCAGTGCGTTATGTGAATAAGGCATAAATTCCACCCGATCTTCAACATCATGACTATAAAATAAATGATCTTCATATGAAAATCTAACAACAGGGCAAGGTCCTGAAGGATTCTTCTGGAGCATCTAAGAAAATAAGATTTGGGGGGAGTAAAATTTAGGGAGATTATATTTTAATGCGTAAACTGGCAGTGTGGTATGTATATATAAGAAACATAAATAGCACACATATGGTAAGTCAGCCAGAATTCATCAGATCATCTTATTATCAACTGACTATAGACTGGGTAAGTCACTGATTATTAAAAAATAAACAACAAACAACCTCAATACAATTACAGCTACAAGGAAACAAGCATGCTAATGATTTCAGAAACTGCTGTGATTTCCTGGGGCAGGGAGAACCCTGATCTTCTCAAATTCAGACTACTTAGATATATCCATTCAGCCTGCTCTGGCTCAGTTACCATGTTCCTGGGCTCACAAACTTGCCCAACTCTTTTTAACTCTTGAAAATAAATGCAGGAGGAATTATTTGTGGAGGGTCTCTTTGTTATTTGTGAAAAGATTCCTGATGCCACTGGAAAACCAAGTCTGAAAATATCAGTTAGATAAGAAACCAGTAGTTAATTTCAAGGAACCACCCAAGAAAAGCAAATGCCAATAACTTGGTATTTTATTATAGAAGCCTTTGAATGGTAACAGAGGCAAAGGTATACAGAATTGCCTTATTTTAGCTATGGTTTCATTTTTTGTGAGTTAAATCTATGAGTCCTATTGGACATACCAACTTCTTGCTAATTGCCTACTAAACTTGGTAAATGGGAATATCCTTCACTGTAGATTTATCAAAAGTACTGAAAGAATGAAAGTTCTTATTGAAGGCTCTAAAATAATCATAGGTATAAATACAGTGTTTTAACAACAAAAGGCAAGGTTTACTTTTAGGATCAGCATTCTAAAATCCCTAAGAAGCAAAGACTGCATCCATGGGGGATGTGCTGATTAACAGGAAGGCAACAAAGCAGACAACAAAGAGATTTCTAACAAATTCCAAATAGATATCCCTCCCCTTGGGCCGGGGGCCTCAGCACAGTCACACCCCGGGTGCACGTCCAGTTCCCGCCTACGAGCTTTATGCAGACAACTGCAGAATACATTCAAACATGGGGCCACTCTCAGATATGCCAACCTTGTTTGGTATCACTTCTGTATAATATTTAGAGGATGAGCAATTATAGCATTTATTTTCATGTGGAGGAGAAGGGGGATGGTATTCTATTTCAACCGAGAAGTAATACTAAAGGATACTGAAGTGTGTTTATTTTCTAAAAAGCTAACATTTTAGGGCTTTTTCCCCCTAATCCTCTTTTAAGTGGCTTTAGAAGTTTCTGCTACTTTAACACAATTGCAGGGAAATGTGTAGGAAAGGTTATTGGAAGTAAAGATAGGCATATTTTGAAATAAAATAAAGCCTCTGGTACTACTACTGAAAGAAAATCATAAAATTCAAAATTAAACCAGATAGAATGGTTTTAAGTTATATTCATTCTTTCTTCAATTTGTTAAAAAGCAAGATTACCATCTCTTTGAAATCCCCTACTCTGGCCAATTTATGATACTTACAAACTGTCTCCTTAACATAACGTGCTTCCCCAAATTTTAAACCTGAAAATATTTACTGCTGAACATCCAAATACGCCTTTCATTGATATCACTAAAGGTACGATTCTGTTTTTTATTAGGTGTAACTTTAGAGGTTTAAAGAAAAAGACATTTATCAATAACTTATTATCCATTAAAGGTCTCATTTATAATGGGATAGAAAATGTATATTTCCAACCCCTCCCCCCATGCATTCCAGACATGTCAAGAGGCCACTCGTGTTGTCACATTATTGAATAGCTGGACCATTCAGCCAACTGTTCCAATGAAGAGTCACACCTACCTTATTATGCTCATACTTGTACGGAATCTTGAGTGTGTCCATGGCTCTGATCATGGCCTGCATGGCCGTGAAGATGTTCTGATACACCAGCTTGGTGAAGCCCCTTTTATCTTCATCAGAGTATCCTGACCCATGGATGATTCTCATCTGCTTGATAAACGTACTCTTGCCACTCTCTCCTGTCCCTGAAAGATGAACAGCAGCAGCTCATCAGACCACAGTGCCACCTCAATCTCTCAGATAACAAAACCAAAATACCATGCCTTCGATTTAACATCCCCAAATGACGTGCTGAGAGGAACAACTCTAGAACTGGTAACGCTACCCATGGTGAACATTTAGCAAAATTAGAGGGAGCAAGTCTATTTCAAAGGCAGATAAGCTCCAACAACAACAACAAAAAACCCCAAGCCTGTCACCTCTCTGGAAACCACTAAGCACCAAATTTTGATAGTGATTTGTGACCATGTATCTTGCAAGAAACAATGACAACAGTATCTTCTGAACATGATAAAAACTTGATAAAGCTCTGTTCCCTGGAGAATATCTGAAATGCTTCCAGGACACTGGGTTGACGAGCCAGGATTTGGATCTGGAAATGATAGTGCACTTATACAAATGGTACTCAGACAGAGATAAGGAAAAAGGGCCTCAAAATTTCTAGACACATTCCCTATTTTATTTTTTAGACATAGTGTCCACCACTGTCACACAGGCTGTAACATAACAGCGTGATCATAGCTCACTGCAGTCTTAAACTTCTAAGATAAAGAGATCCCATATCTCAGTCTCCCAAGCAGCTGGTACTACAGGGATGCACAACCATGCCCAGCTGATTTTTTTTTTTTTTTTTTCCCTGTAGAGACGGGTTCTCACTAGGTTGGCCGGGCTGGTCGTGAACTCTTAGCCTCAAGGGGTACACCTGCCCTGGCCTCCCAATGCCCAGCCTATTTTCTCTAATTTTAAAATTTGCCATAAGAACACAGTGTCCTGGTAAGACAGGAATAAGAATCATTTTTCTATATATCACATATTGCTGAATTTATTTGGGGGCAGGAGGATGGATGACTGAGTTATAAAGGAATCACCTAATTCAGGAAAGCCATGGTGGTTCTTCTTCCTCCTCCCCATTCCTGACTAATTAACATTATACAGAAATTTATTGTGATTAGCTTTTTTATTCCTTCTGTGCTATCTCCTTTTTCACAAATTCAGTATTACTTTTCTGTTACCACAAGCCTAAAAAGGTAATCCCTAACAGAGCTATATATGTCCCTGGGAAGAAGAAAAGACAGAAAAATTGGATCACTTCACAAAATGACAGCATATTTCTTCTACAATGAATCTAAATCTTCTAAAACTTCATTTTTCTAAATGTAAGTGGCTATTTTCATGTGTCCTTTCTCACTTCCTCTCAAATTTCCTTGAGATCTCCAAAACAATAACTGTCTTTATCTTACCCAACAATGTGAAGAAAATAAAAGTGCCAATTTGGATATCAAAGATGGAAGAACAGAATGAAACACAGAATGGCCGTATCACCAGGGTCCTTAATGTCATTTCCTCACTACAAAGCTGAGAAAAGCAATTAAAGAAAGAAAGGGAAGGAAAGGAAGAGAGAGAGAGAAAAGAAGGAAGAGTGGAAGGGAAGGAAGGAGGGAGAAAGAAAAATCAAAGCTAGTAATATGCCATCTGTCCTAATTTCATTTTGTTTTTCTGATGGTTGGATTTCATTACTATCTTTATAAACAATCACAAAATTTCAATTAAGTAGTACAGTTTTCATAGAAGCACTCTTAAATGACTGCAGATGTCTTGGTAAATACACAGCCCTCACACAGTTACAATGAAAGGTATTTCTAGCCACAGAATCCTGCAGTAGCTGATTCCTTTATACTAATTTTCCTATTACTTTAGTTAGTGAAGTGATCTGGAACTCCTAGAAATATAAATTAACAGCTGTACTGTGAATGTTATCAGCCCAGTTTGACAGGATTAATCCAAAAAGTTTAAAATGAGTATTTTATAATCCCAACCATGAATAGTGGAGAAAAGCATTAAGTGGCTGAAAATTATCCTCTCTCTAGTAGAGATAAAGGTACAAAATTGTTTCTCATTATCAACCATTCACGGAAACTAGTATCTTTACTCTTCCAAGCAATTAAAAGTATGTAAGACCAAAAAAAAAAAAAAAATCCAGATTGCTTGTTTATTATCACAATCCCAGAACCAAAGGTTTGCTCTTCGAGCCTAAGTGTAAACAATCATTAATTCACAACAAAAACAGAAGAAATCTTAAATTTGTAAGGTTAATGGTATAAGAAGAAAACTGAAGAGAACCAGGCAACAGGACCTTTTTTCTCCTGGTCACCTGAGAAATTTTTACACACTTATAACCACCTCGCACCACAAAAAAAAAGAGAGAAAGTATCAGATGAAGCATAAGCACACTGGCATGTGTTTCAATGAAATCACATTGGACAAGGGCAATCAACACTTGGTACTTTCTTGAATACAGTCACCAAGTCCCTGGGCATTGTCCACACACTGGAGATCACACTAATGCAAACTCCAAGTAGGTGCCAAACATGTGACTGATGAATGAGTCAGGAAAAGTTAAGAGGAAAGAAAAAATAATCCAAAAATCAACTTTCTGATATTTTCCTGTTGCCAGAAACACACCCACGGATCCTTTCTTCGTCGTCTCATCTTGCTGGGTACCCCGAGAAGGCTGACCAATAGGGATTTCAACAGCTTCGTTATACTATGTCTTCTGCTTGAGCTTAGCCAATAGGAAACCAGAGAGCAGGAGAAAAAGGAAGGGGCATTTTTTCTCCTAGCTTCCTCTCTGCAGGGCAGCACAGATGTGCTATGTTGCCTTTAGAAGGTCCCAGATCCTGCTGGGTGGCTCTCTCCATACTGATGCTCTCTCTGCGTTCCAACATCTGCTCCCTCGCCTTGCCTAGCTATTGCTTGGCCCCAGGTTACTGCACCAGCTCTTACAAGTTACTTAACATCTGCTCCACTCCTCAATCCCCGCACTGGAGTGTGCCATCCATTTCCTGCTGGAACTCTGACTAGTACAAATACCAATCAAATGAAGGACAATGAAGACAATGGAATGGAGGGCATCCTCTCTTCCTCCTCTCCTACTCTCTATACATCTTCTATTTATAAAATTCTATTAAGTAACTCATCCTCATGATACTCTTCTGGAGGCCAATCATGATAAAGAAAAAGTTGTCATCCAGCGAAAAAAAACTGATGGAGCCAAAACCAAATCCAGGGCTGCTAATTCTCCCCCAAAGTACTTATCTGTCAGAAAAGTGCATGTGTGCATGCAAAACACACACACACACGCGCGTGCTTGCTCGCGCTCTCTCTGTCTCTCTCTCTCTATTTTTATTACAAATGAGGTCTCACTATGTCGCCCAGGACTCAAGTAATTGTTTTGCCTCAATTCCCCAAAGTGCTAGGATTACAGGCATAAACCACCACCCACTATGCTTCCCCATCTCCCCACACACACATTTTAAAAATAATCTCCAATGTACACACAGGGGACACAGTAGTCACCACCTCCTGAATATAAAAGATTTGTGTTCAATCCTCTATCCTTTGCAAGCATTTTGAAATATATTGCCATTTTATCCTCTCAAAAATCTGTGAGATAGGTGTCTTTATCCTCATTCCACAGAACAGAAAAGGCCTTGGAGAGGTGAGGCAACATGGCTGAGATGATATGGCTAAGAGGAGGCAGTTCCAAGACTCAAGCCCAGTCTTCAGATGCCCAAGCTTGGGCTGGGCACGATTTTCACAACTATCCAAAATCTGAAATAATTCATTTCTACTGTCCACAATTTAAAATTATCTCATCCAGGCTTTGACTACACCCATTTTTTCTCCCTTTAACATAATTTTTAATTTCTTAATATTATTTCAATTAAAGGAACCCACTTTGAATCTTGGTGCCATCTTCCAATTAGCCAGCCCCTAAGTTCCAGGTAAATTTCACTCAAGAACTTAATGTTCACACTTTGATTTTATCATACAAATGTTGTGAATTCAAAGTGAAGGCAAAGCTTCATGTAAGAAAAATCTGTGTGATGCAAATATTATAGGTAGAATAATAAAAATAGTAAATTAAGATATTATTTGGCACTAGATCAGAATTCAGCCAAAAAGAAAGCACAGCCCTATCTTGGTATCCATGAGGGACTGGTTCCAGCATTCCCATCTTCAGACACCAAAATCCAAGATGCTCAAGTCCCATATATAAAGTAGTGTAATATTTGCACATAACCTATACACAACCCCCATATACTTTAAAACATCTCTAAATTATAATACCTAATACAATGTAAATGCTATGTAAATAGCTGTCATACTGTATTATCACTTGTATTATTTTTACTGTTGTATTGTTTTTGTGGGTTTTTTAAAAAAATATTTTCTATCTAACGTTGGTTGAATCCATGGATATGGAACCTGTGGATACAAGAAGGCCAAATGCATACGGACTAAAACATCAACAAAGCAAAAAACTCAGCTTCTTTGTTCCATACAGTTCTATGTCAGAGACAAATGAATTATTCTTAACAAATGTGTAACCCAAATTTCATGTGTCATTCTCCTATTTTTATAGAATTATGAAATACTCGCTGAGTTTGAAATGGACATTTTAACAACCTAGTACTGATTAGTATGAAAATTTTTGGTATAATAAAAAAACAGCTGTTCCCAACTTACATAAAATTATGTTGTTTCCTAAGGCCACATGAAAATGAAAAGTGTAAGAGACTTCACAATTCTCTTTCACTGAATGAAAACAGCAGACTTTTCTACTAGTAGATTGCTTCAAGAATGCAGTGATGACTAATGTCTTTTCACAGCCCAGGGCAATGAAAAGCACAAGTAACCCTGACCAATCTAAAGAAATATGACTCTTGTTTCCAAGACCACTGATACTATAAAATCTAGCAATAAGCCCTTACATAAAATGTCTGGGGGAGAAAGAAGGGTCTCATTTTTGCTAATTTAAATATATCTCCAATCAAGTCATTTAATAACTTTAACAAGCAAATCAACACACAAGAGTGTGAGTCCCAGAAAAACCCTACTCTTTCAATGGTCTATATAAATATGACTTTAAAATGTCCCCATAAAAGTTATTTGCACCCTCAGG